ACTCGTACAGCAGCTTGATGAAGAGGATGTGGTCCTCTTTGCTGAATCTTCGTCCGTAAAGCTGCAGAAACCTGAAGTTGAGGAATAAGGGGTGGTGACTCAAGATGTTCAGGGTTCATTTTCACCTTAATAATACAGATTCTAATAAATAGACATGAGTATTTGCTGGTTGTGAGTATCCCTCCTTTACCAGCATTGGACAAAATACATACTATAATTATTTTTAACACGTGCATACTCCACCATAAATCAAAAACAAGCTGTGCTCCAAAGAACCCCAATTTTAAAGTTAAGATACAATTTTTTACAGCAAGTTATTTAAAAAATATATATACAGCCATAACATTTGTGATAGGAAAACAATGACTGTTTAAATGTTGAGCTTTAACTAACATTAGCGTACACTCTCTGCTAGCGGCTCTTCCTAATGTTTTTAATTTCCGGGCTGTTATTTTACAATAACTTAAGCATGAATCTGTTTTAATTATTTTTAACGAAAAAAATAAATAAATAAAAAGGGAAAGCATGATCGCTTATATTTTAGTTAGCTTAAAATGAGATGGCACTTTTTGCAGCAGGGTTGTTTACTAACCTCAATTAGCAAATGATCTTAACCAGCTAGCCTCCATTATGTCCACAAAACAAGGCCGTTTTATGGTTAAAAACTAAGTTTCTTTGACCCTTATTGGCTTCCATTATGTCCTTTGTTAGCCAATAAGGGTCAAAGAAACTTTATTTTTAACCATAAAACTGCATTGTTTTGTGTTTATACTTGTTTTCATTGTCTACACTTCAGATAAAAGAAATACAGTTTCAAAAAGGGAGAATGGAAAACACCAAATGATGACACTTTGACCAACATTTCACTTTCTGCTAACACAGCACTTTCAGTTTGCCATTTACTAATGAATATGCACCTAGGCTATTATCTTTTCCGAACCCTAGAGGTGTTCATAAAAGCAAACGCAGCCTGATTTCTGTGTAGGCTACCGTTTAGAAGGAGTTTCTGGCAAGGGCTTATAAATTATTGTTATGGATCTGTGCATTCACTGTGCATACTTAATACCATCTTTTAGTCAATGTAACTGGAGGTATTTTTAGTACCGGTATTTAAATGGATCATCTCGTGGTGACAAGAGAAGTGGACAGCAGATCCCTACCTGCTTCCTCTAGCTGACCCACATCCTCAACCAGAGTCTGAAAATATGCAGCTTCAGTGGCCCACTTCCTCAATGTAAGACCTTAACTCACCTCCTACTCGGAGTTGATGCCAACAAGAAAAAGTGATTTAAAAGTCAGTTTTATTTACAGTTAAGGGGTAAATCTCTTCTCTCTGTGAAGGCAGACATCACTTGTCTGTAAGTCCAGACACAATCACCACATGGTCTATCATTAAATACTCCTTTAACAGATAGGCTATTTATATTTCTTTATTCCCCATTTATTCCCTGATATTGAATATTTCAGGTTTAAAGTTTAAATGTATAGCAGATGTGGCCATTTTTAATGATTCACTACACACCATCATTGAATATAGCATTACTTTGACTATAAGGGCCCTTAAATGAACCTTAGTTATAATGTTTTTGGTGTTTCTGTGCCAAATAAACTCATTGATACTTTGGTAAATTCAGGGTTGGGTTTTTTTTGGGGACAGCTTGCATTAGGCTATAGAATAAAATATACATTGCCATCCTAGGACTAATTCTGGATTTAATTTAGTTAACCTTGCTAAAACACTTACGAGAAGAGTTTCCTGGACCAGAAAGCAACCCCGGGCCAAAGCTCCCTGAGGAGGACAGCTCTGGACAGGTTCGCTTTGATTTCCGCCAGCAGCTCCGTGGCCTCCCGCTCCAACCGGTCCGAGTACGGCAGCAAGCCGTTATACACGATCTCCTTCTGGGGGGTGAACCCAGCGGTGTCCCCCTCCACAACCATACCTGGACACTTCTCTGCCTGTTGTGCGCGCGTAAAAACAAAAAAAGGAGCAGAAAAAACGTCCCTCTAATAAACCCAGTGTCTTCTTGGAAGTGCAGGGCTGAAGTTAGTGCACATAATCCGCAGTGTTCAGGAGCCGAGCGGAAGACAGGCGATCACTGGGGAAAGTGTGTCACGATAATTAAGCCTTTGTAAAGCCCCGAGCAACCGGCGGGCAGGTACAGCAGGCACTCTGACCTGCAGCGTCAGGTGCTGCGTCAACTCTCACCTCTTACGTCACAGATACCCACTTGCAGCAAACATTTAAACAATTCTTGGTGCCAAATATGAGAAATATATTTTGTGTAAGAACTCACTATTACCCAATATGCTGAAAATTAATTAAATAAAAAAAATAAAAAAATCACTATTCATTTTCAACATTACAATTAGCCAAGGCTACAAATTTCCATTAAAGCTATTGCAAGCGTGGCACCCCAAATTTACAGGGTAAAAGTGAATTTTAAAACTCTTACTTACAAAAACTTAAACAATTAAAATGAATAATTTTGTCAGCTTAAAGAGGATATTCTTCTTATTTTCAACCTATCTTTTTTTTTCATTCCTTTTTTTTTTGTTGAGAGAATGTTAAACTATCAAATCTTTGGATACATTTATGTTAAACACATGCTTGCAAATTGTTTTTCCTCTCTAGCTGTAGAGTTTTATTTCGGGCGATGTGAAGACTTCAATGTACAGGTGCTGCTAGGTAGGCTAATCGATACAGGTGTTGCTTGCTAGGAAGAACCCTTGGCTGGGAGGAGAGTCATGATGGACTACAAGTCCCAGAGGCTGTATAAGTGCGTGTTGCTACCTAATCTGCCATATAATAGGATTTTCTAATAGCCTAACTGGATTAATTACCCTCTGTTCTACTGACCCACAGTGACTGTCGGGAACGATATGTACTCGGTGTGTGGGGTGAATGTTGTGAGTCAGCATATCTATCTATCTATCTATCTATCTATCTATCTATCTATCTATCTATCTATCTATCTATCTAAGAATAACTCTGATTTTAATTTCAGTTACAAAGTTCTTTACAGAGGCAGCAAATTAAAAGAGGCAAGTCATAAAATAATCAGGTTTTTTTATGACAAATATAGGCTATCTTTACAGTTTAGGCATATAGGCCTATTAGAAAAACATATTTTTTGAAGAAATAAAAGAATATAAAAACTACAATATCATCTCACAGGGGCTCGGAGGTGAAAGTAAGTCTTATAAGGTGACTTAAAACTGAAACCATTTCCCCCTGACCTCCTCCGTGCACTCTTGCATTATGTGCCCCCTTCCATGTAAATCCCTTTACTTTTAGCCGGTGTAATTCTCTGACCGTGTAATTCTCTGACCACTACATACTTAGAGCTGTTATCACAGGAGGGTCTGTCTGCAGTTCATAACAGCAGTCAGGTCTCACAGTCATCATGGCTTAGCGCATAATGCAGAAAGCCCCTTTGAGTTCACTGGTCTGGTTACATTTAGAGAGATGGGCCATTTGCTGCAGCCCTACATCAACCTTTTTTCTTAAGCTGCCTGATTGCATAAAGTGCCCTGTTTCTCAACCTGGCTTCACTCTCACTAGTGGTGTTCCTGTTGCTTTTGCAGGTCTGTCTGCTGCTCATCGCAACCTGAGCTATGTGCTGTCTTTAAAACAATTTTCTCTCCATAGACAAAAGAACTGACTTCAGGCTCCCAGAACTGAATGTGCCTTTTACTTAGCGCACCATAACTTTTTCCCAAGGTCCTTTTTTCTTTTATACCCCCTTAGATTTTATTACTTTTTGTGGCTTCTCAGAGAAGTGACAGGCAGCACCTGTTTTCACTGTCTCTACCAATGACCCACATCCAAAAAGAAACATCGGGTCTGTCCCGGTTTGTTCCTCGTTGTGAGGTTTTTTTTTCTGCTCTCTGGAACTGGGGAATTTGTTGATGTGTTTGTGCGAAAGTCTGTGTTTGTATGGGCACAGTCGCACACATCTGTGAAATTCATTATTCCACAAGTGGAGGCTACAGATGGAAAATATGATTCAGGAGGATGATGATGCCTCTTTGACTCGGCGGGGAGACGACCAAACAGAGAAAAGAGAGAAATAAAGGGAGAGAGAGAGAGGGGGAAAGAAGGATAGAGAGATGATGGTCCCATTGGAAGAGGTTTTTATATTTCACTATATTACTCATCTTTACCTCAGAATGTGCAGACGTCAAGACAGAAGAATCTTAAGAAACACACATGAACACACACATCAAGCCTCTCATATTCACCAGGGATTAATTGGGTTGCCAGTTTTCCCGCTCCAAATATTTTTGGAAACTCGGACAGCCAATCTATATGTGTGTGTGCGTGTGTGTGTATATTTTTTGTGTGTGTTTGAGTTTGTTGAGTGACAAGTATGAACGACATGTCTCACACACACACACACACACACACACACACACACAGATCCTTCTATCCAGCTGGGTTTCTTGCTGGGAGATATGCAGCCCAGCTCATCGCCAGACAGACGGTTAAAATATGGCCCCCGCTCCTGCTTCACACACACACACACACAGGCGCACACACACACACACACACACACACACACACACACACACACTCAGAGAAATACATAACCACATTAGGACTTTCTGCAGAGCTGTCTGCATGTTCTCTACTCTTACCAACCTTTCCCTTTTTTTATTTTTGACACATTTTAAAACTAATTTCTGAAAGCTGTGACGGGCCAGATTCCAAGGTGGGAAGGACACAAGGAGACAAGGAAACAAGGGAGAGTGAAAAAGAGGTAGAGATTCCATCACAGCCTCTGTGGAGCTGCAGCAGGGACCATCCTTCCTGCCGGGATTTTTAATTGCTGAGAAAAGCAGAGCAGCGAGGAGCACGCAGGTATGCAAGGTTAATTCCCTCTTCATCTTCTTCTTCTTTTATCTCCTCTGCTGCAGCCCTGCTTGTGTTGTGTGCTGGTGTTGCAGTATAGCAGCTATACTTCATGGTGAATGCATATGTGATTAATGTGTGAACAGGAATGAGTCCGCTGAGAGGTTTCCCCCTGATTCTGATATTCCTCCATGCAGCAGCTGTGCGTGCAGGTACCAAACATCCTCAAAGAGACACTCAGAATATCTGCATTAAAATGCATGAGCAAAGCCAGATTCTTCATAATCTTATTAAATTATTTATTAATGCAGATCTACAATCTGGCACTGATGACACACGTGTGCCTTCTCTACAGGTGTGGGTGGTGTAAAGGTGGAAAATGTGTCGTCACAAATCTGTCGTCATCCGTGTGATGAGCTGGTGGGTTTGCTCACTGAAATCCAAGGCCTGAGGATTGTAACCAGCAACCTGCTGGAAGACCTGGACAGAGTAGTAAGTAGTCACATGTATGATCTGCATGTTTGCAATTGTTTTTCTTTTGTATGTAACTTTCTGATGCTGCTTTATTTCAATAAGAAGGAATTGAACTTAACATCAAATAGACATTATTAGAAAAAACATGTAATAACCTTTTAAAGGAGTGTTTCAAAAATGTAAAAGAAAGTGATATTTCAGACCTTTTTAATCAGTGAGTAAGAGGTCTTATAAGGCTCTTAAACAACTTAAATCCAGCTGTTTAATTATGGATAAATTGAAGGTATAAAATAAAATGCTAATAATCAGAAATTTGTAAAGGGAGGGGTCAAGTGAATTAAAAATATAAGTAAATGACAACATTATATATATTTAAACAAAAAGCTAGTCCTATTTTCTTGTTTAAAGATGCCCTGTTTGCACATTTAAATTCATCACTTTAAAGTTCTGACGTAGAAAATATGTCCGATCCCTTGTCCCTTATTAAAAGAAACTAAAAAAGGCATTTTATAGTTTAACATTTCTACAGCAATAAAACACTACAAAAATAGTTTTGGTGTTATGGTTTTCGACAAATAGAGCCAGTTAATGTGAATGCCGGCTAAATCAAAACTTCACACTGTATTTGCTGGGGGAGATTTCATTATGAAGTCTGTCTTCTTCCAGGGAAAATTGAACAAGTGGCATAATAACTTTCTGGCGGGAAGCTCCGTGGTTTGTGGTGGATGTCTTGGTAATTTGGGGGGGGGAAACATAAACAGAAAAACCACCAGTGTTAAAATGTTGCCAGTGAATTAACTCAAGCACCATTCAAGTCAAATTCAAAAGGTCTCTGTGTACAATGGAGGGGAATAGATACAAATCAACATGTGTTGTAGTTTTTCTGATGAGGATTTTACCGTTTGTGTGTGATTTTTGTATTCTCAGTCAAAAGAGAATGAAGAGATGCGTCTTTCTTTGGCTGAGCTGAGCAGCAATAGCAGCAGCCGGAGCAACAGCAGTGGAAGCAGTCGTAGAAGCAGCGGCCGAGGTGATTGGCACGGTGACGGCCGCGGCAATGACTATGGAGGAGGGGACCTCGATGGTTATGACCCTGATGTAGACAGAGCTGAGGAGGTGTGGTGCGTCCAGGACGGGCGGGTGTACGACCATGGGGAGGACTGGGAGGTGGACAGCTGTACCTTCTGTACCTGCCAGGTCAGTGTTTCACCAACCTGATGCAAATGAAATCTAAAATATTCAAGGCAGGGGGTTGCCTATCAAGTCTCTGAGGCACAGAGAACAGAGTTAAAACAATCATCTTGATAAAAAGGTACACCCTGACTTTATATTCCTGAATCTTTCTGTTTTATTTGCAGTGCAGAACAGTTTTTTTTTTTGTCCAAGGCATCTCTCAATTCCGGTTCTGTTTAAAGTTTAACTCCAGATTCAAGTCTCTCTCTTTTTTTTATAATTAAAAAACATTTCCTCTCTTGACTTGTATCTGACTTCTGCAAGACTTTGATTACTTGGGAGTTGACTCTGTTGATGACACGTGTAACCTTACATTTTCTTTTGCAAATATTCTTTTTCAATCCAGGAAATAAAATAAATTCACAAATCTTCCTCCTCTATTGTAGCGTCACCTTACAGGAAGGGTTCAACAGTTTGGAAAATTCGCTTATTCCCTTTCATGCCGGTAGTTAGATTAAAAAAAAAAAAAAAAAATCAATTCCACTTTCAGACTTAAGAGTGGGATTGATCTCCTCTCACTCTTGGCAAGAAATCAAATAAGCACATTTTCCAAAACGTGAAACAATTTCATTGTAATTTATTAAACAGTTGGGGAGATGCTAAAGTTTGACTTAAACCCAGTGTGGTTTCATTTAATTCCTCTGCTGCCGTTTTTCCAGTCCATATTTCATGCTTGCTTCGTCCTCCTCTCTGCGTCTGTTTCTCTTTATGAAACATAATTAGTTTTAGTCAAAGTTTGGATTGAAGGAACAGCCAAACTTACAATGAGTCATGACAGCAAAAAAAATCATCTGCAAGGACGGGCAAAACATCTGGCCCAACGTGACGTATGTTGAATAATGTTTGTTCTAGTTTCTTGTTTTGTTTCTCCATCTTGTGTAGGGAGGGAAGGCGGTGTGCCAGCTGATGTCATGCCCTCCTGTTTCCTGTATCAATCCCTCTTTTAATGAAGGAGAGTGCTGTCCAGTGTGTCTCAGTGAGTTCCTGCAACGTAATACTATCCTCGACATTATATAAAGCAAGTATGACAAAGTTGTGCTGACCGTGTGTGTCTCCGTTGTGTGTAAAGATAATGAAACTGGCTGGTCTCCGTGGTCTGAATGGACGCACTGCTCCGTCACCTGCGGACGAGGAGGTCAGCAAAGAGGCCGATCCTGCAACAGCATCGTGCCGTCCTGCTCCGGCCCGTCGGTCCAAACCCGCAGCTGCATGTTGACGAAGTGTGACCGCAAGGGTAAGAGGGAAATCAATCGGCACGCCTGATGTCATGGTTTAATTTATTCTAGTGATTGATTTAGCACAGCCGCTCAAAGGGAACAATCGAACATTCCTCAATGAGCAAAAAATATGGAACTTCAGAGTAATGGATTCTGAAGATTATGATCATAATTGGAAACATGTGGTAGCTTTGGGGATGTATACACAGTGTGGAGCTTTGGCGGTGGTCTGTGTTGAAGACCTCTCCTAGCTACGACACAAAAAAAGAGACTTTTTTTTTTTTTTTTACAAACTTTTCTGTGTTTGTGTCATGTCGAAGGTCGTGCTGATGGGAACTGGGGACTTTGGTCTCCTTGGTCTGCGTGCACGACCACATGTGGAGACGGAAACATCACACGGGTTCGCCTCTGCAACAGCCCTCCACCACAGAAGGGGGGCAGAGGGTGCACGGGCAGCGCCAGGGAGACACAATCCTGCAACAACACACTCTGCCCCAGTGAGTTTTAAAAAAAAAAATAGAAATGCACAAACTCGCTTCACTGTAGACATTAACTTTTTGGAATGATATTTTCACCTTCAGTCGCTGGAGGTTGGACCGGCTGGAGTGGATGGTCACTCTGCTCAGCAACATGTGGAGGTGGCCTTAAAAGTCGCCAGAGGGAGTGTTTAAACCCGGCCCCTCAGAACGGAGGGAAACCCTGTGCCGGAGACGCCACAGACTATGAAGCATGTAACAAACAGTCCTGTCCTATAGGTAAACCTAAACCATGTCCACAAACTTCAGGCTAGAGGTACAACTTAATAGAGTTTGCATACATCATTCTTTAAGTAGAGTCACATGCAAGAAAAAACAGAATTGCTTTTTAACTGGTGCAACATATTTTCATACAATAATGGATTAAAAAAAGATTATCCTGCAGTCCTTATGCTGCTTTTATCTAATTATTCAGTCCGAGGAGAGAAAAGACAAATGATTCATATCTCAAATTCCTGAGATAATCAGAGCACCTTTAACCCCTATTTGGATTACTTTGCAATGTGACTCATTTTAATGTTTTGTTTTGTTTTTTTTAGATTTATGTTTGCTGTCGAATCCATGTTTTCCGGGGGTGAAGTGTTCATCACATAGCGATGGATCGTGGGAATGTGGACACTGTCCGCTGGGTTTACAGGGAAATGGCACCCACTGTGAAGATGAGGATGAGGTAATGCGGGCATGCAATTGTATCTGAAGTCAGCTGCTCCTGCTCAGTACTTAGACTGCGAGGTAACACCACCACTTTGGTGACAGAAAAAGCTTGGAAAATGCATGAATTATCAATTATACAAGTTTTGAGGTTTTTATTTCATTACTGTGTCGTACATACATTTATATGTAAGCATGGGCTTACAGGACACCATGAATTTACACGTTCCAGGATAAGAGTGCAGAGTCGCAATGTCATGGAACAAAAAGACAAAGCAAAAGCAAGACAAAATATCTTTTTATATCTGTTTTCCGAGCTTTTGAGACAACATTAGCAAGCTTAAATACATTAATCTTAAACAGCCATTCCAGTTGTTGCACATCTGTACACCCCATTATTTCTTTTTTTTTGAAGAGCAACATTATGGAACAATAGCTCAATAACAAGTCATCATATTTTGTACAATGCAAAAGAAAATGGGAATCACACATTCTTTAAGAATATTTTTAAATCGACCGACTCCAATGGCCAGAGGGAGAAAACCAGATCTGAACTGTGCGACCAAGGATCTTTGGCTTCTACATAAACGACATGTTACATGTAACATTTGTTAACATATGACTGATGGATTGGCATTAAGTTTAGTACAGGTATTCAAGGTTCCCAGACCATGTATCCTTGTAAAGTTGATGGCTCCCAAACGGTTCTTCTAATGCAAAGAGCAGGTTGATGTTGAGGTTTGGAGTTAAACGTCTCACATCGACTGGATACAATGGAATGAATCTTTGTACACCCATTTATGTTTCCCTCCAGATGAATTCTATCACCAAGTCAAAGTTTTATTTTGTCTTTCACTCTGCTTTAGTACCCATTACCTTCCAAACAAATGATTTTGCCATCAACCTCAGCTGAATTTTGTGTTTGCTGACAATCAGTAAATCTCAGTACGCAAACACATTGAGCTAACATGGAGAAAAGTGTAAACATTAAAGCTGCTAATTATCAGCATGTAAGCTTTGCCATTGTAAGCGTGAGAAAAACCCTCGTACTAAAATACAGCCTCGCAAAGAAGCTTGTGTGCATGTAAACTCTCAAATTTACCGTCTCTGCCTTTTTCCCACAACATCTATGACATGCACGATAAATCTCAGGTTTGGTGGGAACTTCCAGATCCACAAAGTTTTCCCCTAATCCTCCTGATGACTTTAGCACTTCATGGAGGCTATGAAAGAAAGCTGTGATTGGTCAGCTTTATCTGACATTGCGTCCCTCTAGAAAGAAGTAAATGTTACGTACAGTAGTGTGATCCAGGCCAAGGGTTCCAGCTCATAAACACCGCCTGTCAACGTCTTTTTCTTATGCTAGTGCTAGATATACTTAACATGGCTTTCTATTCTATTGCTGCAGTGTGAGGTGGAGGATGTGTGTGTCACACAGTGTGTAAACACAGATCCTGGGTTCTACTGTCTGCCCTGTCCTCCTCGTTATAAAGGCTCCCAGCCGTATGGCCTGGGACTGCAGGAAGCCCAGAAAATCAAGCAGGTGTGTGTTTCCCCTCCATGATAAACTTTTCTTTTTTTTGTGTCTCGACTACTTTTCTTTTCTCTGAACTAAAGTCATAAATCTCTTCGGTGTTCTCTCTGTAGGTGTGTGAACCATACAATCCTTGCAAAGACAACACACACACCTGCCACAGGTTTGCAGACTGTTTGTACCTGGGCCTGGCATCTGAGGTTTTGTACAAGTGTGTGTGCGCTGTCGGGTTTGCAGGCGACGGCTTTCTGTGTGGGGAAGACTCTGATCTGGATGGTTGGCCCAACAAGAGATTGACCTGCAAACAGAACGCAACGTATCACTGCGAAAAGGTACAATTGTGAAAAATGTGGTTGGCTGTAAGTTTTGTGGTTTAGTGTGACTTGACTAAAGTTGGTTGTGATTGGTTCCAGGATAACTGTCCAATGCTACCAAACTCTGGACAGGAGGACCTGGACCAGGACGGACAGGGAGACGCCTGTGATCCTGATGATGACAATGATGACATCACCGATGAAAGGGTGAGACTGTCGCTCAAAAAAAAGAGATAAAATCGCTCAAACAGGCAAAAAAAATTACAAATTCTCAGTATGTGTATGGTTGCACAAATGTGTGTCTGTGATAGGACAACTGCCCGCTGGTGTACAACCCTCGGCAGTTTGACTCTGACAGAGACGGGGTTGGGGATCGCTGTGATAACTGCCCGTTTGAAAGCAACCCACTGCAGACAGACACTGATGGGAACGGAGAGGGAGACGCCTGCAGCATCGACATTGATGGAGACGGTGGGAGCTACTCACTGAACAGGAACAAAATACGCAGTTACTTATCTGATTATACCAGTCTGTTCTAATATCCCATAAATTCAGTATTCAGAGAGAGTCTAAGGATCTCATTATGTTCAATAAACCAAAAATAATGTCCCAGATGACAATGTGGTACCTCTTATCTCCTGCTGATCTGTTCCTATACATGTGTAAAAAAGAGTTTTGTCTCCTCAAAAATCTCGTCCTTCTTTGTTTCAAATCGTCTTTAAATCTTTGCCGTGGAGTGAAAAACAAAAGGCTGACTCAGCAGTGTGCTATTGTTTACATCGTCTGACACCTACCCCACAGCCAGGGTTAAAGGCATAATGTAAAAACTGAATAGAAATAATCAACCATGCTGCTTATTGTCTTGTTTGCTTCGGTAGGTCATGTAGAGGCATCAGTGTTAATTTCATTAATATTGACAGTTAAAAACTCCTTATAGGAGCTTCAACTTTAAGTTGAGATGAACCAAAGTTTGAAATCATCTAGCCTTTTTTTTTTTTTACATGTACCTGGGAGAAACAAAACAGACAATGCTGGAGTAAATGTCTATTTGACTTTTTAATGGCAGGGGGAAAAGATAGAGGAACACATTTCCATCAAAGTGAAAATATTTTAGGCTGTGGGACAGTTTCCAGGATATTTTAAATTTCAGGTGGCCTGATGCTTAACCCCTGTTACTGTCTACTCTTCTTATAACTTTAAATTAAATGACTAAGAAGATGGCTAAATCTATTTAAACATCCAACGGTGTATTTTTCAGGAGGAGTCTCATGAGATATATCATAGATTTTACACAGATCGTTAGGGGAAGACAAAATAACTGAATTAATTTTCTGTGAAAGGAAATAGAAATCCAGAAGTAATGAGCACAGAATGAAATATGGATTTAAATGCATTTAACCAAATATTGTCTTGATTTATGTTCCTTTGCATGTCTTGATTTTAGTGCGTAATAAAACTGTACAAGGTCAATAAAATGTAATTTATCTGCTGGGTCTGTATTTTTCTCCTTGTTTCTCCAGATGTTCTGAATGACCGTGACAACTGCCCTTTAGTCTACAACACTGACCAGAGGGACACAGACCTGGATGGAGTTGGAGACCAGTGTGACAACTGTCCCCTTCTACACAACCCACTGCAGGTCAATTAAAAAACAAAACAAAAAAAAAAGCACACACAAATCATTTAAACAGACATCTGTCCACTTAGAAACATCCTAAGATAACTACTTGGATTAGACACTGTGCCTCAAAGAACATCTGGTATGGGCTTTAATTTTATTGCTGGCTATTAAACAAGGAAATATTACAGGAAAGTCTTGGAAGTGTATTTCACTTATGATAAACCTAAGCGCAAAAACTTGTGTCTAACTTTACTGATTATACAAAGCATACACGGAATAAAAAGACAGGCAACATGACAGCTCCACAAGAGTGAGGCCTAAACATTTGGAGCTCCCCCTACTGACCGGCTGCAGTTATAGGACTTAAGCGCCACCTTCTCCATTTTAACAGATGGGACATGGGTCAAACTAGAAAAATAAAACATGTCAGGTTTCTGTCTTTAAGTTAGTTCTTATAGTGCTGATAGATTTCCAAGTTGTAGTCAACTTGTAACTCAACTGCATGTGATGTCACTCAGTCTTTTAAAGGGAGCATGTGCATGACAACTAAAGACCATGATTGACAGCTCTGTTGACAAATGCAGCTCCTGTAGTGCTTTCAGCACCAGGTGAGCAGAGGGAAAAGGGGAACAGCGAGAGGAAAATTAACCAACACAGATCATTTAACTTTCTATGACCGTGTGGGGTTTGCTTCACACCGCCACAAGCATCTGTCATGTTAAAGAGTTTCCCGACGTGAGAGATCTTAGATGTTTCATCAGTGAGTTAAATGTGTTATTTGGTTTGTAGAAGGGGCAGGGTGACAAAAGTGCAGCAGAGTCTACTGAGTAACTCTGGCTGTTAATGATGTCACCTGTGCAATATGTCAACACCCGTAACAGGGATCCTTTTGTCTTCACTTTTGTACAAAGGGAGGCGCTTGAGACTTATTTAACGTCTTTCTTTAAAATCAGTGATACAGAGAATGTGAATAAAGTGTCCATGTGTTGTTTTCTTTGCAGCGTGATTCGGACAGCGACCTGGTGGGCGACATGTGCGACAACAACGAGGACATCGATGAGGACGGACTCCAGAACTCTCTAGATAACTGTCCTTACATCGCCAACAGTAACCAGGCCGACCATGACAACGATGGGAAGGGAGACGCCTGTGACCACGATGACGATAATGACGGTATCCCCGACGATCGAGACAACTGCAGACTGGTGCCCAACAAGGACCAGCTGGACTCTGACGGTCAGCGTTGTTTTAAGTTTTTCAAGATAATGTTAGCAGAAAGAAGTGTCACTTACACCTACAATGTGCTTCAAATCAATGTCTTTATTCTCAAATATCTTGAATATCAAGAACAAGATGGACATGAATGATGGATCGTTTGCTGTCACACGTTTGTATCATTTATGAGGAATGTGTTTAACAGTCATGCTGTAAAACCTTTTGGTCCAGTCCAGTCTGTCTGCAGTGATCCAGGTCATGTTAATGTTGGACATCAGCATAAACCGTTTACCGTGCCAAGTAGAGTCTTTTGCAAAAAGGAATCCAGGAAATCACATTTGGAAGAGAGTGCATCTCTGCCTTTTTATCTCTCTCTCTCTCTTTCTGCAGGTGATGGTAGCGGGGATGCATGCTTCGACGACTTTGACAATGACAGTATTCCAGATGCGTTGGATCCCTGTCCACTGAACCAGGATATCGGCTCTACAGACTTCAGGAAGTATCAGGTTGTGTTGTTGGACCCTAAAGGCACCACGCAGTCTGATCCTCTTTGGGTGATCCGCAGCCAAGGCACTGAGCTGCTTCAGACAGCCAACTCTGATCCCGGCATCGCTTTAGGTAAGATTTAATCCCCCCACCTCCCCCCAAAAAAAAAAAACCCAAGAGACAAACCTAAAATTGTTGAACTCAAAAGAAAAAAAAATCCTTTTTGCCAGGATATGACAAGTTCAGTTCGGTGGACTTCAGTGTGACATTTTATGTGAACACCAACCGAGATGACGACTACGCAGGCATCGTGTTCGCCTACCAGTCCAGCCGGCGCTTCTATGTTGTCATGTGGAAACAGGTGAGTTGTGGATACGATTATGAATAGAGGGAACAATCACTTCAGACCAGATGATGCCATATTACCACATTACTCATATTATAATGAGCTAATGCTACTTTCAACAAGGGGTGAAATACCTAGTATTACTTTTCTTGCCACTTTTATGCTGAAAATGTGACAAATATTTCCATAAAAACTTTATCAATATCTCCTTTTATCCAACTTTATTCTTATTGCAGCAAATAAAAGGCCAATATTGTCATAAAACCTGACAATCCTCTCATTCCAGTAAACTCAGTCCAACACAAAGAAACAAATGAATGTTTGAGTCAATCAATCCCTATGATGACAGATCAATCATGTGCATCTGTGTATCCATATCATATTGGAATGTAAAATATTGCAATGCCCTGGCTCACCAATCCTTATTGTAACTTAGCTCCACTAATGGTGGTATGAACTGAACCAAAACTGCATTATAAAAACCCTTAGATCTAAGTTGAAATCTCTCTTTACTCACCTTTAAATATCTCCTTCGACTTTGTGCTTCTCTTCAGTGTTTTTATTTATATTCTCACTTGCAAAAAAAGTGAAAAGTGTGTTAAAGAACCAGATTTTTTTCAAGCTATATGTGCACTGCAACAGTCCTCGTCTTAGTTAAAAGCATCAACAACACCTCCACATTCTTTCTGCCCGGGAGCGCAGGTGTCTCAGGCGTACTGGGAGAAAAAACCGTTCAAAGCTTTCGGCACAGCAGGGGTCTCCATCAAACTGGTCAACTCCACCACAGGACCGGGGGAGTATCTACGCAATTCTCTGTGGCACACCGGAAACACCAGGCACCAGGCATGAATCAGCAAACTTTGTCTCCCCTTTGTATTCTGCTTGTTAGAGCTCACTCTAATTTGAAACTGTCTTCAGAAATGACCTTGAACAGACCTTCTGTTGTAGGAATGTCAAAGTAAAGCTGGACCTGTTCTCTTGTCTGACATGTGTTTGTTTATTTCTGCTTCAGGTCAGAACGTTGTGGCATGACCCCAATAAAATAGGCTGGAAGGACTACACAGCTTATCGAATGCACCTCATCCACAGACCCAAGACTGGTTTCATCAGGTGAATAACACTGACATGAGACCCAACTCAAAAAAATGTCTCTGGAAAATGTCTCTGGAAAACGTTTCTCTGGTAAACAAGTCATTTTTATTGGCAAGGATAATCACAAACAAGTCTTTCGATCTATGAGCCTGTAGATGTTTTCAGTTAAAGCATTTGTTGCATCTTGTTTTTCCCCTTTTGACTCAGAACATATTTATTGATCTATTTTACAATAAAAAATGACTTTATTCTCACAGGAGATCACTAATGTAAAAGCAGGTTTTTATGTTGTTATTCTAAAGCTGGATAACAATATGGTTTCACATCAATGCACATGCCATTTAGTTTGCAGTCACACAATGCTTTGTAAGCCACTGACATCCAGTTAACTGCCTCTGCAGTTTACTGGAGACTGTGGCGACATTCAGAGGAAGTGAGCATAACCATGGATTTGGCTAAAAAGAAAATGGAAATGATCAACAGTGATGAATAACACATGAGGATGTGTTCGCTTTCAGTCTGATTAAAATGATTAAAAGCCTTCAAAGTAGTGAAGAGATGAACACAGGAACAATGTCTATGTAGTTACACTCTCTGCCAGGAGGGGGAGGCAAATGTTTAAAGCTCCTGTGAGGAGTTTTTAAAATGGTTACAAAACAGATTGCAAAGAATAATGATCCCTCATTATGACCTAAAGAAGCAAATGAGATGATGATCAGGAAGAAACACTATTTCTATACAGTTCTTTTCAGTGTCTGAAACTGCTACCTCGTGGTAGACGTCAGACAGAATGATAAACTGCACACTAACTCTTTCTTATTTTCTTTTGTTCGCTGGCAAAGATTCTTGATAAGGGATACATTTGTGTAAAAAAAAAAAACTACTTACAAATGTACAGGAGAAGATCAGCAAAGTGATATGAAGTACCGCTTTATCCACCAGGGGGCACCAAAATGTGCAGAAACCAAAGGTTTATCACCGTAGCTTTAACCAAGAAAAAAAACAGTTTGCAAAGGGAAAAAGATAAGAAATTCTAAACACTAAAATTGTAAGACATGCTTTTAAACCTTTTAAAGTATATGGGTTTTATTCTAAATGTGGAAGAACACTAAAAACATGGACTTGGTCCTGTGGTTATAGCCTTAGGAACACCAACTCTACCAACTCGTCAATGAGAAATCACTGCTTTCTGAACAAACAAATCAGATTTGTTCCTTGACATTTGCTGCAGTTTGGACCGTACAGTACAAACAGTACAGAAATATGTGACAGGTGACAGGGCAAAAAAAAAGAAACAAAATACACACATTTCAAAATCTTTCTTAGACTTTTTCACACCATTGTTTTTCCACGCACATTCACGACCCACTGAAGACGGCTCTGCGATCCCACTTTTGGGTCACGACCCACCAGTTGAGAACCACTCCGTTAAAACTACACATTTAGGACTCAGTCAGTACCAGGCCAGCTCAGGTCATATCGGTTTTATTGGCCCAACAATATGCTGAATCACTTCTTAAATTTGTGCGAATCACATCCAGTTCCTCCTTTTTTTAAACATAAAGTTGCCCTCGGATGTCCTCACGCTGGAGACTATCATTAATCTCCACGAGTTATTTGATCACAACTATGTTATTCACTTTCTGTGTTGTACCCTGTTCTCCTCAACCTGCCACATCTACTTCTACTTAGTTGTGCTTCTCACTAATGGACTTTTGAAAACAGGCCCCGGGCAATGTGTAACTTTTAATGTGCACATTGAGAGGGAAGTATCAGTACAAGAGCTAGGTTTTAAAGCTACAGAATGAAAGGACAAAACTGCAATGTTCAAGGCCAAGTTATTCTGAAAATACACTCACACAGAATCTATCTTTGAGGACGCAAGTGTTGCATTCTGTGCGCTGAATGATTGTAGGATGACTGTATGCTCATTGAATGTCTCACTGAAAAGAGGCTCCTGCTCTTTGTTTGTGAAGGACACACACACACATTGATATTTTGTCATTCGCCGGGAACTGTTTTTAATATAGCTCCATTTGACGTCATGTTCTCAGTTTTAGCCAGATTTAAAAAGTAAAACAGCGAACAGAACGGATGAGTACAAGAACAAAAAGACACAGTTGGCCTAGAAATGTTCGGTACATTCAAATTGTGTGTCCAAAGACCCAAATGCTTTTGGACACAAATGGATAAACTATCAACAAATCAGAGGAAGAAAAAAAAGGGTAAGGGAAAGGTAACTTCATTGGTACGCGTAGGTGGATTTGGTTTGCAGTGACTGAGTCGGCCTCCTTTTGCACACAAACGACAGCACAGGACAAAACATGGTAGAGTGACAACAGTGCTCAACACTAAAGAGAAAAGCCCTTAGTGAAAACAAGATAAAGTAACCCATCAGAAAGAATAAGACAAATAAAAACGAGCTAAAAATAAGATGTGTGATGTGTGAGGCTACAAGGGTAGTTATACAATTCACTCGGCTTTCCATCAATCCAATACAAGAACGTTAGACAAGGCAAGAAAGAGTAGCTAAAACTTGCAACTTGTATGCACATCCAGTTTGTTCAATAATAAGAGTGGATACAGGATGTCGCATTTATGCCTCAACAGCGCTTAAACTCTCACAATAATGATAAACAACTGTGACTGGCCTGATGGTCCTGTGAATAAGAAGTTTCCACACTCCACGTAGACTGATGTTCTATGAGTGTCTTTTTGTGAAGCATTGTTTGACTTGTTAAGCAAATACATTCATAACTACGGTTTCTAACGATAGCTTGCAGCGTATTGACGTGAATACGGAAACCTTTAAGCTACGATATTAGATAAATGTGTTTTTGTGTTAATCTGAAAAGTTGTGAAAAAGGGAAAATAAGTATTACTGAGTAAATGTGTTTCGTTACATCCCACCTCTGATTTTAACACCGAGGTAAACTCACTATTGATGTTTCACCTTTTCCATGAGGTGCCATCAGTTACATGTAGTCTGCATCTTTGGGTAAACACATAGCAAATGCGAGGCTCATGATGCTAGCATTTTGGGAGGGGCTTTCTGTACCTTTAATGAGCGGGCAGGACAGAGGCTACAGCTGGATGCAGGGTATGAGGGAGTGGGAGATGACATGTGGTGAAACAACAGAGGGTGGGAGTCAGAACCCTTGAGGGCTCTAGACTACCAACATGAGACAAACCCTGATGCTTGGTAATGTGTGTTCACTTTGCAGGGTGGTGGTGTACGAGGGCAGGAACATTTTATCTGACTCAGGGGCCGTTTACGATCACACCCTGGCTGGAGGCAGACTGGGACTGTTCGTCTTCTCCCAGGAACACGTCCTCTTCTCGGACCTCAGATACGAGTGCAGAGGTAAGACCACTTGTTTCTCCTGATTGGAGGTGGCAAATTACTCTTATTTAGATTCATGTGCTTATTTAACAGTGTAAATATATTCCATGACGAGTAAATGTCCTTCATGTAACGTACAGTTTAGTGGACAGTGTAAGTAAATGGTCTAAATCTAGACAGCTGGATGATTTCTTTACTATGTACAAAGTTATCAGAACAGGTAAGTCATTATAAAACCAGTTCCTTTAACTGTCTGAATTGTATATTGTTTGATTATATGTTGGACTCTATTTAATGTCTGTAATGTATGCATTTAGAATCTGAGAGGACATGGTGTGAATAAGGAGAGAAGACAAAAGTTTTTCTAGCCATACTTTTATTTTGAAATAGAGAGAAATATTAGAAAAGTCCTAAAATCTGTTGGGCCTCAAACTGTAATTGAAGTCAGATAAGTTAAAGGGGAAATTACTTCTGAAACTTTCCAACTGGACAACGCTTTTCAAATGTGTTTTGTATTGTTAAAACATTGTAATAACTTAGCTAATAAATAAATGACTCTCCTGATTGCAAACAAAGTTCATTGTGAAGAAAGGGCAGTCTAAACTGAACGTCCGAGGCACTCTGATGCAATATAAAAAATGTTATTAAACAGGGATAGGTGTCTACGTGTTTCTACTCAACTGACTCAGCGTTTGGACTCTGTTGAGTTGAAATGCATAGACACATACCTGTTTAAAATAAACGATTTTTATATCCCATCAGAGTGCCTCGGACTTTCCCTTTAGACTGCCTTTTCTTCACAATAAACTTTGATTGTAATCAGGACAGTCATTCATTTATTAGCCATGCACGAGTAACAATTATGTAAGAGGTATTAGAGAAAATGTGTAATATATTGACCTCTGACCTGCAATTGAAGCATGAGGTTTAAGAAATACTGAAGCACATCACTCTACTTGGGTAAATCTACCACATGCCTCTTATGAAACACGATCCTCTGATGATTTTTGGACCCTAATTTCTGTGTTCTTTTCCTCAGACAACTGAAGAGACCCACCTAAGACCCTTAAACATGTCAGAAAATGTTCACAAAACTAAAAGAGAAAGATTGATTATTATGCACAAGACCCGGGCCTTCAACCTGCAAAGACTTATCAGTACGTTTTTATGTATCAGCTTCCTGTGCCAAAGACTGCTGTCTCATTCGCTGTATTTGACTCTTAAGACTCTAAGAATGCATTTCTAGTGACAGTTACCTCTTGCTACTTTCATTAGCTTTTCCTTTAATGGTGTAAATAATTATTTATTGCCAGATGCCAAAGGAAGTGAATTGATGCTGGATTAAAGAGAACGTTGTGCATATCTCTTGTGGTAAAGTAAATTATCAATAAAATACTTTTTTCACTTCTTATTTACTTATTTTTATCATAATTATTTTATGATACTTTTTTTTTTATCTCCACTTTTCAGCTCATGTTCCTCTCTGGAAATGTGGTCTGTATCGCTCTCTAGTGGTAGAAGTACTAATTACATCTCAGTCAAAGCAGAACAGGTGGAAAATGGTTATTTAAAGTTGTTAAAAGTTAAGCTCAGGCAGTCTTAACATCATTTCATATTCGTACAACTTCTTGACTAAAATAATAAAAGCATTCTATAGAAATACTTAGTAACAAGTACAAGTCATTAAAAGTCAATTTTACTGATAAAAAGGGAAGTGAAAGTACATTTACTCATTTGCTCATTAACTGTAAAGCATGGCTGATGTAATGTTTTGTTTGTTAAATTTTGGACATTAAAGGAACTGTCTTGTTAATAGAACAATCATTTTTCTCTTTAGTTCTATCAGAAGTATCATATAATGTAAATAATCCGAGCCGAGTGATAACATTGTACTAAAGTGCTACTCAGTAACGTTTTGATGAAATAAAAACTGTGTTTGAGTCAGTGTTTAACATTGTGGAAGAGCAAAACTAATAGTAAGCCAGACTAAAGATTTATGTGTTTTATTATGACCTTTTAATTTCTAATTCTACTTTTGTTACATAGTAATTCTCACTGTAACTATTTTAAACGAGGGGAACAAGTTAGTCCATAAATAAATCTGGTCTGACCTTGAGCCTCAGGGAAAATAAATCCTTTGTAGTGACTCAAAACATTAAAACCTGTTGAACCGGTGAGAAGTTTCCTTTCACACACTCAGGTGCGCACACACACACTCACACACACACACACACACACACACACACACACACACACACACACACGCACTCTCTACCTGGCGCGGTGAGGGAGTGACGTCACCGGTGCCTGCTTCCATTGAGATGTGGAGAATGAGGAAGACAAGTCCATCTACAGCAGAGAACAACTTTCTTTTGAACTAGTGTAGTACATGTTTGTGTTTCACACGTTTTGTCTTTACCTTGAAGGATGTCTCGCGTTTGTTCCTCGGGTTGTTTCTCTCGATTTGTGGAGAGAAACTATTCGGCGCTGAATTTTGCGCTCCTGGTTTTTGGGTATATCCTTTATCTCATAGTCGGCGCAGCGATTTTCTCGGCCATCGAGCTGCCGTACGAGCATGAACTTCGCCGGGAACTGGTCGAGGCCCGGCAGGACTTCCTGAGCAGCAACCCCTGTGTGTCCGACGAGCGCCTCGACGAGCTGCTGGCCCGGGCGCTGGAGGCCAGTAACTATGGAGTGTCCGTGCTGGGTAACAGCAGCAACCATAACTGGGACTTTATCTCTTCACTGTTCTTCACCAGCACCGTGGTGACGACGACAGGTGAGGCCCGGGACACAGGTGTGCCCACAAAGCGTGAGCTGTGGTGACCCCTGTCTGAATTTGGATTGATAGTTTTCCCCTCATAAGTCAAGAAGCCCTACGAATTCAAATCAAACATAGTATCAAAGAACATGTAAGTGTAGACGTTTGGCGTAGTTATTTGGGAAATAGAAGCAAGTTTGGAGAGGGAAATTATAATGTTTTAATGAGAACTGACGCCCTTGAAGGTACATGAACAAATAGAGCAGTTTAACCTATTAAATAAAAGAAAATCCCCACATTCCTTCACCCTTCAGTCAGGTTGTGAAGGGCAGGACTAAAACTGGATCTATAATTCATTATGCTTATTATTTATTGATAGATTTAAGATTGAGTATGAATCGGATCTGATTTGTGTTTTCACATGAAGACACGCTGCTTTCTAATGAGCATCTGTTTTTTCTCCTTTAGCCTAGATAATTATTATTCTGTGTGTAGAGATTCACTGCAGCAAAGTGGCTCCAGGGGAGGAACCGCACCTCTTATTATAGCCCTGTAATTGTCCACATATACACACACAGCTGTCATTTTCTTCTGACGTCATGCACAGTGAAGCTTAAAGCTGTGTTTAAAGATGGTCAATGATAGAAAAAAAACATCTCTTGGAACAGTCTATGCTCGAAACTCATCTCATTTTACAGACATTAACTGGAAGAAGGCTTGGTTTTTTCTTTTTAAATTTTGTTTCAGAAACAAAATGATATCTCAAAAATGGTAGAAAATATTCATCCAACAAAAGTATGCATCACAAGATTTGTTCATTTTAATCTACAATGTGCGATGCAAAGTTGAGAAGAAACCAGTGAGTCTTAAAAAAAAAGATATGATGCACAAAGACTCAAAACACTATGTCACCCAAATATACAGCCTACTTATTTATTTGCTGTAAACAACACAGCATTTATGATAATAATAGACTTTATTTGGCATGGACATCACAGATACATTGGACGAACCAGATGCATTGTTTAAGTGTTTTAGCAAGCATGCTAGTTCTCAACACCTGTCCACAGGGGGCTTTTGAAAAGAAAACAATTAAGATAGGGAGAAAAAAACGATAAAACAGAGAAAAACAATAATGGGAGAATACATAAATAGAACCGTAGAGCAAAGGCAGCATGATCAAACGATAAACCAGTCAGAAGCTCTTCATGTGAGCACTCGTTGTTTTGATTTTAGCATTGTTTGAGTCCTCTGTTGAAAGCATTCCTGTTGCTCTCTAATTTTATGCCAGTGGGCAGAGAGCTCCAACGTTTTGCCCCCTTTGCAGAGAAAGCAGACTGGACCAAAAGATGTCTTGTACATTGGGACAAGACAATCACCGCTGATGGAGGCTCGTGTGACTGCCCTACGAGAGCTCTCACGCCCAATGGCTATTTAGAGCCAGACTGTGCTCTGCATCAGATGCTTTAAAAAGTTCAGGTGTTATTTATATTTCAAAACCACAGAGTCCCACCCGTGGGTGTGGTCATCAGAGTGGAGCAAATTAGACTTTAAGCATGGAAAAAAAAAAACATGCCATGCTACAGGAACCTGGAATGAATCAGATTGTAGACATTAGACAGGTTTCACTCATATGTGTACAAAAATATACGTAATGTATACACAGCTACAACAAAAGCAGTACAACATTATACCAGCAGTGAAGCTTCCAGCATTTATTAACTGCATCTGTAAGCATTATGAGACAGGAACGTAGCAGCTGTATTAATAAAGTGAACTCAGACTGTACTACATGTTTTTTCTGTATTTTCAGGTTATGGCCACACTGTTCCTCTCTCAGATGAAGGGAAGGCCTTCTGCATCTTCTACGCCATCTTGGGTATTCCTGTCACCCTCTTCTTCCTCACTGTTGTGGTGCAGAGGATCATGGTCCTGGTGACTCGACGTCCAGTGGACTACTTTCATCGTCGATGGGCCATGTCTAAGCCCAAGCTAGCCGCCATCCACGCGACCTGCTTAGCCCTCATCATGACCCTGCTGCTCCTAATCATCCCTGCCTGGATATTTTACAGCCTGGAAAAGGACTGGGACTTTCTGGAGTCTCTATATTTCTGTTTTATCTCTCTGACAACCATCGGCCTTGGGGATTATGTTCCCGGAGAGACGCACAGTAAAGACGACAACCCACATCCGCAACTCTACCGGCTGTCAATTACAGGTGGGTGGAAGGATGAAGATACTGCTGGCTAAGGCTACTGAACAGATTTGTAGTTCTAAAAGTTGAGGCATTTGTCAAGTTTTGATTGCACTCGATAGAAACGGTTTAGAAATGGTTTTGAGAGTTCTTTTTCTCATCATATTGAGCAATGGTTCAACCAAGGACTTCTTGCCATTTTCTCAACTCAATTATTTATGAGAAGGGAAAATTATCTGCTATTTAGCCAGGAATAGCAACGTCATTGTTGAAGCTTTTTGAGGCTGTATTTTTCGCTGTATCCAAATGAACTTTGTAGTTAGAAGTCATGGCAGGAAACACTCAAGTTGACTATGTTCAAATACAAAGAGACGCATAAGATTCCACAATGTGGGGGAAATTTGCTTTGCCTCAAGCAATTACTCGGCTCACTTGATGTCAGCATGTTAAATAGCTGATTTAATGAAGCAAAACATAAACTGTTTACATTTACAATATTTACTACCATTGATTTCTGTCCATTTTGGGTTTTGAGATTGTTTCAGTGTTTTCCTGAGTGCGTCTTCATGTTGTGTTGAAATGTAGACATTTACTGGAGAGCCCAGGAAGTCACCTGCTTAGTTTAACTGACACACAGCAATAGGCAGAGTGGAAAAGCCGAATTACTATCAAGACAGAGCGGACGTGGTGATTTTAAAGGCTCATTTTTTGCCATCATGTTCAAACCTGCTGACATTCTTACATTTGTTTCTTTGTACTAAAACAAAGTACAGACAATCAGTGTTGGGCCAACTAACAGACAACTTTTGTCCCATTGAGTATTAATAATGTGCTCCTACAGGATCGTCATGTTTTTGTTTTTCTTAATGGAAAGGTTTAACAAAGCAACAACTCTTGGCCACTCCACCCTTTACACACTGACCAATCCTTGATTAAACCAGTCACCCTGCCCTGGTCTTTGTTTAGTCATGATGCCATTGTGTGTAATATGTGCTATTTGCTTTCCCAGTCTACCTGCTGCTGGGCCTGGTGTGTGTCCTGGTCGTTCTGGAGACGTGTTGTGAGCTTCCTCAGATGAAGCGTCTCAGACAGAGGTTCTTCAAGGAAAACGTTCGGGAGCTGGACTCTGAGACCACCAACATCATCAGCAGGGACCACTTGAGTGACGAGCTGACCGATACGCCGGATCCCGTACCTGTCATCCCTTCTGTGTCAGACCAGGCTGCTTCTCTACGGGAGGATAGCAAATCAACACCTTACACCCAATCATTAGGGTCTACCACTAATGGAAAACTGAGGTGACGGATTTCCTTGAGTGGATTTCACAATATGCTTCCTTCGTGACTGCTAAAGACATGCCGCCGCCTTAAAGTGAATATATGAGTATATTAGGAGCCTGAGCACAATTTTTGTTAGGTTATCTGCATTTAATCTGAGTCACTTAATCACTTTGAAATAGATTCCTTTTCTCCAGTGCCAACACCAACAGGCATCTTTGGCTTAAAAGCAGGAACCACCCACAGACTGTCAGGATCAGGATGGCTTTGTTTTCTTGTTCTCCCCCTGTTGTGTTATTCCCTGTAGATAAGACCTAGATCTGTGACACAGAGGAAGGGCTGGGCCCCCAAACGGAGGGAAACCTCACAAGGTTCCTCTTCCTGCCAACGACTCTGCGTTGTAATCCCAAGGCGGCACAGTCTGCTCCTGGATGATTTCACACCCGCTCTATGCATATTATATAATCGACCGGGGTATTTGCATGGGAAATTTGCCTCCTTGGAAGTAGGAGAGTGGTACCAGGAGAATTAGGCTTACTGTTTGTTGGTCTGTTGCACATCACGTGCAAGGATTCCAAGATGAAGATCAAATGAACATTGAACCATGAACATGGTTATTGACCTTGTTATCCTAAATGTTGAAATACACTCAGTTTATTCTAGAAGGTAGGCCTTATCGCAACCAAGAAGCCTAAAATATGAGGAAATGATGGTTTATTTTTTTTTACACAGGTGGTAATTCAACTGTATAATTAATTTGCTGCGGTTCTTGTAGTGTTTGTATCTGACCATAAAGAGATATTAAGCGATGCGCTGGGGGTTACACACAATGCGATACAATACAATACACGATACATAGCAAGTGATGACTATAATGTCACGATACAAGAACTTTGCAATGAATATGTGAATGATCATATAATGACATCACAATATTTGACTTACTGAAAATATGAAATGCCCCTCACGAAGGTCAAGAGCAGGATTGCTGTATTTATTCACTGCAATTTGCTGTCAGTTTCACTGCCTAACACACTTCATCCTCTTAACTTTCACTATTGTCTGAAACTTTTCTTCTTCTTCTTCTTCTTCATCTTTTATCCTGCTGTCAACTTCTTCTTTAGCCAATAGATTCTGTTTGCGTAACCCCCATTCATGTTATCAAATGGGTGTCAAGCGCCATTGTGAGAAGTGGTGGGTCAAATTTCCAGGGAAATCTGATAAGAACACTGTTTCTTTTTGTAATTTATCAAAAATATTGGTATCTGAGGTATCACCAGTGATTCTATGATTGTATCACACGAGCCATGTTGCTGATCAATATTTTGTCTCACCCCTAATTTCTTTTATTTATTCTATTATCATTGATAAGAACTTCTGAGACAAAGGTAATAGAAAGGTGTCTGTTAGGTGTCATTTTGACTATACAGTTGAATCAAACCTCCAATTCAATTCAGACAAAAACTTCACCTTTTACAATAACATGTACATTATGACATTATAACCTTCATAAACTTAGGGTTTCATTCAGGGCTGTTTAGCTGATACACTGGTATCTGAATGTTAGGCATTGGGATAATCATAGTGCAATATTTACACATCTTCCACTAGAGGGCAGCACTTTCATTTTCTATTCTGAACGGATAGATTACGTGGGATTCCTTGGTAAAAATGAATCTCTCATGCTTCTTAAAGGATATTTTTTTTCCTTCAATAATTACACTGCAAGAACATGTTATTGTTACACCTGAAGGTGGGGGAACATGCTGTTACATGTTGCACTTTTTATTAGGCTACATTTTGGCAGAGCTGTCCCAGTTACAGGAGTGTTAAGCGGATTGTGATGTATAAAGTGTTTGTTTTATGTCAGGATTTTGTAGATAGCGAGCAAAAACAGCTTAAAAACTAGGTGCAAATTCAAGGTATGTCTTCCAAATATATATTTTTTTGTTATTTTCATTGTTGTTTTGTATATTTTAAGGAATTAATAAAAATCAGAACTTTATTATAGCAATTGTAATTAAATCAAGTCAACTCTCTGAATAAAGTGCAATCAAATCAAGCAACATTAAACTTCAGACACCTGATTGTATTTCCTAAAAAATATACTCATGACAAGCATATCAAACTTTTATATAAACTTGGGTTATTTTATTTATACATTAACATATTCACATAATAATTCAAGACACCAACATGCAGACTGATGTGGGTACACACAATCAAGCAGGCGTTCACATTCACACGTTCAGACTCACGCATACACACAAACAAACACAGAGAATGTCCTTCAACCAGAGAAGCAGAACTCACTCCTCTGAGAGAGATAGTTTTTGTCCTTCTGAAATGTCCTTGAATCCACATGAGCTATGGGACTGTTGTTGTGCAGCAGACTTTTGACCTTCGACCTCCCCACAGAGGCTGGAAAGTGTATAGTCGTCTATTGTTTCACAAATTGGGAGTAAAGCCGTCACCTTCACACTAACAGGCTCTCACAGATATTCCCCTTCTCAACTCAACCTATATGTATATGTATCTGTGTGTTTATACGATCTGGGGCTGTTTGGAGCAGCGGGGCCACAGAGGACGCAGACTAATGATGAAGAGGATCAAGAGCAGTATTGCCATAATGGTGACTATGGAGACGTAGCCGGCGTGGGGTAGAGGGGGGGAGTCAGGAGCCTCAGCTGGAATCATGTTGGTCAGATTTAACATGTAGCCCAGAGTCCAGCCTGCATCACTGCCTTTTATCTGCACACAAGCACAGGTAGAAAAAAAATACAGAGTAAATGCCAGACCAGTATAATGGCTATTTATACCAGAGTATGGCTTTTTAATTAATTATTTAAGTTGTAGGAGGATTATTATTGGCCTTACTCATTTTTTATAGTCCGATTCAGAATGCTTCACCCCAACTGTATTGACATATGATACCCCATACAGTCACGGACAAAACAAGATAGCCTACTTCCACTGTTAGATAAAGATACTTTTCAACGTTTACTTGACACTTTTGACGCCGTCACAAGCCTAACAACAGCCCTTAGCAACCAACCAAGAGAGTCCAATGACGTTCATTGACGCTTTTACAACTGGAAAATGCTCCCTTCTCCGATGATATCCACCTGGACGCCGCCGCTCCGGAAGACTTCCTGCGTTTAAATTATGAGCCCGCTCATAAAAAGTGAAGTTTCACAGAGTTACCTAAAGGACTTTTATTGCTGTTCATCACAAAAAAAAAAACTTCTCTGTCATTGTGCCCAGGGACAAGCTCAGTGGCGGTTCTAGACCACTTTTACTGAGGGGGCCAAACTGGGGCCATTTGTTTTGTAAGAGGGGAACATTAAACCCAGGTGAAAAATAGACAAAGATGATCGCTTTAAAATAAATATATTTATTATGCCAAATAATAGCACACATCATAAAATACCATGATTTATATTTGTTTCAGTAAGAGTATTTAATGCTAGATTGTGAGTCCGGTTGTTGAGTCAAATACTGTGTATGTGTTATTAGGGGGGGGCTCTTCCTTTTGGAGGGGTGGCCACAGGGGGGACCAAGCTCAGTGTGACAGGGGCACTGGCCCCTGTTGGCCCCTGCCTAGAACCGCCCATGGACAAGCTACAGGCTACTACAGGTAAGTCCATTGCTACAGAGCTGTCAATCAATGCTAGCAGTATTTAATGTCAGATGTGCCTGTAAACTAGCTTTGCCTGTACTGCCTTAAATTAGATATTGATGCTTGCTGAAACTTTCATTAAGCTTTAAGATATATAATTAGGCCTACTCTAAAACAATTGCAGATGTTCTTGCATGCAACTTCACATATGTTGAATAGGCTATAATTTAATGGGATTGCTGACATAATTTCCAATGTTTATTTACATTGGTTAAGTTAGGCTACTACTACTACAGATATGTCGGATTACTGAAGTGGCCTCGTGATATTTTCTCACAATGTTGTTGCCATTTTTGTTGGTCTAATTTCCCCCTAATTTCATCAACAGATCTCTAGCAGCAGATAATATTGGTTATTTTGCTGCTGTCTTGTGGAAATTATAAAAAATGAGTTGTCAATATCATTCATCATTGTTGGGGGTGTAAGGACTAAGGGAAGATTGTAAATAAAAAATCTAAACCTAAGTGTTTATATTGTTTAATACCATTATTAAGGCACACTTCTGTTGTTAATTGCAGTTCTTCCTAGTTTTCAGTAACATGGAATTACTTGGCTTGCATGTCGAGCATTGCTATCCATAGGTAGAGTTCATTTATTTCCCCCACGCTGATGATATATTTGTGGGGCTGCTGTGTCTAGGAGGAAGAAAAGGTTGAACATTAATCACACGGATGGTGGTCCCATTTCCTGGCTCCTCCTTGTGAAAGGAAAATGGCGCGATGTTGAGTCAGTGGAGAGGAGGCAGATTGCAAACTGCCTTTTCTACTTTGGAAAATCCCCATGAAGGCCAACTGTGAGGGAATCCTTTTTACTCACTACAATCAAGTTACAGCTAAGATTGGAATTGATTGATTGCAACAATTATTGGAATAAATCTGGTCATATCTTGCTAAATGTTCTTAAGGCATATACAGTAGTGTTAGACAGCTGGTATGTGAATGAGGCTTTTGGTGCGTTTTAAGACATTGGCAGATAGTTTTGAAAAGTTGTATGTGCCACTTTGTCTTGATTTTAAAGCAGGAAACCAACATTTGTTTGATGGCGGTCCATCAGCAGCATCATTGTAGCTGTTTGGATTCTTCAAAAGCTCAAAAAACACTGTCTTTTCTGAAAGAAATAACCACATTACCATTTACTTTAACGGTCAATTCCTTAACCCCAGTGTCTTCGACCAAACTGAGGAAATGTGTATCAGGTGTCTTGGAATTCTTTGATTTTTACTGATAAGATTGCTTAAAGGTTTTCTAGACTGAGCCAGTACTTGATGGATAATGTAGTTTGTGCTTTAGTTGAGCAATCCATTACAATCTTTGCAGCGGCTGGAGATGCTGTTAAAGTATGTGTTTTAAGTGCTGGGTGGTCACCCAGGATATCAGTAGTTGGACAAAAAAATGCTGAGGCTAAGTATCAGAGACAGTCAACCTTAAGCAATACACCTCACAGCTTATCAAACTTTTTATCTCAAGCAGGTCATCACAAAGATAGAAGTAGAACATATGGATGTGATTTATTAAACAATATCACACAGGAGGGATTGTTGTACTTAATTTCAGACCGTCTGTAATTCAGACGAGGATAATCATAGCCTTGCTTATATTCAGCACTGCAGTGCAATCTCCAGTATGGCATTCCTTTAACACAGCAGGTTTTAAAGGTTGCAAATAGTAAAAAAATCACAAAATGAATTATTTTTTGTTAATCATCCATTTGGCTCCCCCAACACAGCCACCTCCACAACTTTTTTCAGAGCAAATTAAATGCAAACACTGAAAAAAAACATCCTGTTTACCACTTCTTTGGCGGACTCAGAGAAAAATGGATGTAAACAAAAACCATATGCTTGCTGAAATGTAAATTTACCTGATTCTGAAAACCTAAGCAGGGTGATACTGTAGTTAAAAGTCCTGGTGCTGTTGTACACTAGCCACACTCATTGAGTGCCTCTTGTCAAATCAGATTACATGCTTGGAACTTTAACTGGCCAAAATGATATGATTGAAATCAGGAAGTCTGGGCTATTGGGTGTTTTAGACAGGAAAGGAGTGGACAGTGATCTACTGACCTTTTTGATGA